ACAAATACTCGGACACCTTTATTTTGGAAAATGATCACAGCTTTAATAACATATAAATAAGCTTAAATTAATTTAAGGTCATTGTCACATATTAACATAACATATCACCTCACCAACTCTTTTAGCAATACTACCCCAGACAATGACCCACATCACAATAAGTAAAACCACATTATAACATACATTTAAAGGGACACTATAGTCACCAGAACAGCTACAGCTTATTGTATTTGTTCTGGTGAGTAGAATCATTACCTGCAGGCTTTTTGCTGTAAACACTGTCTTTTCAGAGAAAATGCAGTCTTTACATTACAGCCTAGTGATAACTTCACTGGCCACTCCTCAGATGGCTGTTAGAGATCCTTCCTGGGTCATGGCTACCTAAAATGCTTCCAAACATTCAGTGTCTCCTCCCTCTGCATGCAGACACTGAACTTTCCTCATAGAGATACATTGATTCAATTCATCTCTATGAGGAGATGCTGATTGGCCAGGGCTGTGTTTGAATCATGCTGGCTCTGCCCCTGATCTGCCTCTTTGTCAGTCTCAGCCAATCCTATGGGGAAGCATTGTGATTGGATCAGACTACCACTTCTGATGATGTCAGCAGACTGCTTGTTTTTCTGAGGCAAACAGCATGCAGAGTTACGGCTTCAGGCTTGAATACAGTAAGACTTTGCTATATTTATGGAGGCGTGAGTGGCCAAAGGGGGCTAGATGGTGGTTTTAACACTATAGGGTCAGGAATACATGTTTGTGCTCCTGACCCTATAGTGATCCTTTAACATATAAACATAACCATTGCCACTGAGGGCATGACATAACCATTACCACCAAGGGCATAACATAACCATTACCACCAAGGGCATAACATAACCACTGCCACCGAGGGCATGACATAACCATTACCACCGAGGGCATGACATAACCATTGTCACTGAGGGCATGACATAACCATTGTCACTGAGGGCATGACATAACCGCTGCCACCGAGAGTATGACATAACCACTGCCACTGATGGCATGACATAACCATTGCCACCGAGGGAATGATATAACCATTGAGACAACGGGTATGACATAACCACTGCCACAGCGGGTATGATATAACCACTGCCACCTAGGGCATGACATAACCATTACCACCGAGGGCATGACATAACCACTGCCACCGAGGGGTATGACATAACCATTGCCACCAAGGGTATGACACAACCACTGCCACTGCGGGTATGACATAACCATTGCCACAGTGGGTATGACATAACCACTGCCACCAAGGGCATGACATAACCATTGCCACCGAGGGCATGATTTCCAGCTTTCTTCCATGTAAGTAGGGGTATACCGAGATACACCCTACACACACCAGGTTCGCAGCTATCGACAAGCTCGAACCTACCAATAGCCTTCCAAACCTAACTGTTCTTAGTAAACCAAACTATTTTACATCAGGACAAACAACCTACACCCCAACTTCTCTATCCATCCCCCGCTTCCGTGACCAAACGGGAGATAGAGACCAAATAAAGAAGGGACAAAACAAGTAAGTGAGGATTAATTAAGACAGCCACTGATCTAAAAGGACCACTATATATACTCTTCTAACACAAACCCCACCTCCAGTTATGCTAGCCAGACCCCTACATTACACCCATCCTATGTCTGTTGTAACAGAACTATAATCTCTGCCTGGACATATTTAACAATACATAAGCCTGGGAATACAAAAGAACATACTTGCCTGTGTATGTGGATTGTTATACACTAAAAACGAATGCAAACTGCCGAACACCGGACCACCCTGCTGTGTAGTTAATTGGTATTTTACCTCCCAGACCGGCATATACCATTTGCATGATACTGCACGAATCCTTCGTGTAAAATCTAGGTGGCCGCCATTTCGGGTCTTTGCACGTGTTCGCGGCCATCTTACGCACGAACAGCGGTGATTTTCCATCGAGTGTCTGGAACTAAAAACGGACACTCGAGTAGGCGATCACCGCTGAGACCTCCATACCAACGTAATTTCGTGCTGAAACTACCGAACAATCGGCCGTTCGGTAGAAAGGATATATTGTGCATGGGGATTCCAGTGAACACCAAGTTATTTGCGGATGGCAGGATTTTAGTGCTTTTTCAGCGCACGAACGGGGACCGACCGCAAGTCCAAAACTTATGGAACTATTTTTGGCCAGTATGCCTGTGCGGTTGGTCAAAACTTTAAAGATCCATATCTCCCGAACGGCTGAACCGAATGAGCTGAATTTTTGATACATTGGTCCCCCAGAACCAAGCTATCTGGGGACACTGGACTTATGCCTGTACCCCAAGTATTTGGGGTACATCCAAACTTTGGGGAAAACATGTTCATTTTTAATTATGTTATGTGGTTATCTAAGGGGAGGAGTTGTATGGAATGTATATTATGTTTATTGGCTGTACTGTTAATTATGTGGGTGTCTCCCTTGCATGGGCAGAATCACATAAAAGAGAGTGCCTGTCATTAAAGCTTTAGTTCTGCTTGACCCTTCAAAACGTAGCCTCGTCTCGTTCTTGAAAGGGGGTTTACTACTCTGCTCTGCTCCATTACTCTGCTCCATTTTCCAGCTATGCCTGCTTCTACCCTTGGATCTAGTGGATGGGAATAAGAACAACTCCATTCTTATACAGCATCTTGCCATCTGGGTAGCCGTCTGTTACACCTGTCTCATAGCAGTGCCAAGGCCCATTTCCCTTAGCTGCGCTGCTCCATGGGCTACAATACAATGATAATCTATACGTTTTATTCCCTTCTCTTTCTCTAAAAAATGAACAAATTAAAAATTGTGTAACTTTAAATTTTTTGGTATCCTCAAACAATTATGTGAAAATTAAAAATTCTGTTTTTTTTAAATTTTTCTTATGTTGTTGTGCTAATTAGCAATCCCATGATTTAACTAAACGCTTTTCTATCTTTTTATACATATAGTTGGAAGTGAAGACGTTAAAGAAAGTTAAATATCTCTAATTATCAGTCTCTCTCAGTCCTAGACATATCTCATTCATTATCTAAAGCCTTACGTTAACCTAATGACTACCAGTTTCACCAATGTATCTCCCAGTTTCAGGCATACCACACATATTTTAACCTATTCAACACCTATTTTTGCCATTGTCTATGCCAGTTTTGCCCATGCCACAGCCATTTTCACCAATGTCTTTTAATTTTCACCAATGTCTTTTAAGGGTGTCACGGTTCCCTTGATCCCCACTGCCCTGTTTGGTGCTATTCCCTACATCTAGGAACATTAGCTGGCCCTGTTAGGCCCTTTATAGTCTGGCCTCACCTTTCCTTCCTGGCCAGATCATTGTTTCATTTTTCCTGTTGCAGTATAGGCCTTGCACCTTGTGGTTTTGTATCCTGTGACTCTGGCCTTGCATCCTGTGGCTCTGCATCCTGTGGCTCTGGCCTTGCACCCTGTGGCTCTGGCTTTGCATCCTGTGGCTCTGGCCTTTTGTCCTGTGGCTCTGGCCTTGCATCCTGTGGCTCTGGCTTTGTATCCTGTGGCTCTGGCCTTGCATCCTGTGGCTCTGTATCCTGTGACTCTGGCCTTGCATCCTTTGACTCTGGCCTTGCATCCTGTGGCGAAAGGGACCTCGCCACTGGTTTTTGGAGGGTCTGTTTGCCAGCCTCTTGCCATGTGACTATGGCTCCTGGGAAGTATTGGGCTTATTGGATTTTGGGACACTTTTTCTGCCCCTTTGAATCCATTGGAAGGTGTGCCTCTTCCCTTCTCTCGGTTCCTGTCCCATTGTTCTCCAGCAGGGCGTTGTCTCAGGGATACTGCCAGACCAGTTGGAACTGGCTGCTTTGTCCCTCCTCTGTCTCTCATCAGCCCTTGCTAAACTTTAACCCCATGGCGATTTGACTGTGTCCATGGGATCTGAGCGCTGTTCAGCTATAGTGAGTGCTCAGATTGTGGGGGTTCAGTTCTATAGAATATTAGTTATGTATTTTAATGTGTTTTGTTACAGTTCTGACTGAGTGATATTTTCTGTACCTGGAGATAATTGAGTTTAATACAGTTACTTAAGCCAATTATCTCCATGGAACTGAAAACGGCTACACGACGGCATGAACACCGCTGAACCTTACCTTCTTTTCCACCTTGACGGAAATTGAAGTGTGTTCGACTATTTGAACGCCACGTTAAACTGGGCTATTTGCACGAACGGTGTCCGTTCGTGCATTTGAATGGGACTTAGTCTCTTTTTCTATGTGAAATAGACCGACGGCACAGCCCAAACCTATGGAACTCTTTTGGGCATGAAAGCCATGCTTGCAGTCAGTCAAATAGGACTTCCATCTATCTTTTGAACCACTGGACCAAATTGTATGATTTTTTAATATGTTTGTATACTGAATATGCTGGTTCAGAATATGTAACTTTTATGGAAATTGTATGTATAGTTTTGAAGTTATGCATATTGGGTAAAACTATATTTTCTGCCTGTGGTATTTAAGTTAACCCATTGTGTTCAGTAATTATATCACAGGCAGAAGGGAGGGCTTGTGTGCCTTAGCTGGGAGTGTCTCACTGTACTGTTCTGTTTTGATTGGCTATTTTAACTGCATGTCCTGTGTACCACAAGGTCCATGTGGGTGGTAACCTTGTGGGAAAACTTGTATGAAAGAAAGTCCTTTGGTGCTCATTAAACAGTTCTACTTGACCCTCAACTCGCAGCTTTGACTCGTGTTTGGAGGGGACAGCTATAATCACTACAGGGATTGCTATGCTCTGCATACTCACTTAGCTACTGAGCTCTTTTAAGAGCTCTTGTTTCTGATTCTGCTTCGCTCTACAGAAGGAAGAGGTTCACCCACTGGAACCTGGTCGTAGGTCCAGGGTGGATAGCAGACGGCGAGATCCCAGCCCAGCAGCAGTGGGTCGTGGAGTCTGCAGTACTCATGGTACAGGCAACCGTAACACCCATGTCACACCAATTTTCACCAATGCCTATCTGAGTGTTACCCATGTCACACCATTTTCACCAATGCCTATTCCAGCTTCACCCATGTCACACCAATTTTCACCAATGCCTATCCCAGCTTCACCCATGGCACACCAATTTTCACCAATGCCAATCTGAGTTTTACTCATGTCACACCCATTTTCACCAATGCCTATCCCAGCTTCACCCATGTCACACCAATTTTCACCAATGCCAATCTGTGTTTTACCCATGTCACACCCATTTTCACTAATGCCAATCTGTGTTTTACCCAAGTCACACCCATTTTCACCAATGCCTATCCCAGCTTCACCCATGTCACACCAATTTTCACCAATGCCAATCTGTGTTTTACCCAAGTCACACCCATTTTCACCAATGCCTATCCCAGTTTCACCCATGTTTTACCTATGCCTCACATATTTCAGTGCAGTCTACTCATAACATATCATTTAAGGCCTTGGTTATAGAGATGCAAACCAACCCCAGGTCCAAATAAGACAGCTTTCTCAGATCCTCAGCCACACTATGTACAAACAGTGCATTAAATGAGGACTGTTCATATAACAGGGGGTTTCTTTTCATGTTCTACCCCAAAGATAAGCTGAGGAAGTTAATTAAAGGACACTACCCTTGTAAATGCAACTGAAGCGCTTAATAAATAGAACATTCAGTTACAGAGATACAAGCTGGCCCCGTGTTTAATAGAGTCAAGAAGAATACACGATTGGCTCATAATGATTATATACGTGATGTTATTATGGCTAGCGTAGTAAGAGTTATTGCCAAATTTATCTCCCACCCCTAATGTGTTTAAACTGAAAGTAAGGGTTAAACAGGTTGGAGCAAGCGTTTGCGTCAGCATGTGGACTGATACCGGCAGTGTGCTCGCTGGTACTGCCAGTAATGGATTAGATTATAAAATTGGCTTGTTCTCTTCTCTCCTTCTATAAATAGAATATATTTTCTCTGTGATTTCTATTCCCAGAATTATTTCCTGCAATTTATAATAATTCTCATAAAGGACAAGGTTCCACTGCTCTAATTCTTATTTACATTAAATGTTTTATTATCGTTATAAATCCATAGGTTTGCAGTAATTGATTCTTATCAATTGTAAACACTCTCTACCCTAAAGGGCCTAGAAATCAATATTATTCTGAAATAATCTAATGATATTCTGTTTGCAGTTAGAATGTTGTGATATTCTGTTAGTCGTTAGAATGTTGTGATAGATTCTGTTTGCAGTTAGAATGTTGTGATGGTCTGTTTGCAGTTAGAATGCTGTGATATCCTGTTTGCAGTTAGAATGTTGTGATGTTCTGTTTACAATTAGAATGTTTTGATGTTCTGTTTGCAGTTAGAATGCTGTGATATTCTGTTAGCAGTTAGAATGCCGTGATTTTCTGTTAGAATGCAGTGATTTTATGCTGGCAGTTAGAATGTCCTGATTTTATGTTAGCAGTTAGAATACATTAATTTTATATTGGCAGTTAGAATGCAGTGATTTCCTGTTAGCAGTTAGAATGCAGTGTTTTTCTGTTAGCAGTTAGAATGCAGTGATTTTCTTTTAGCAGTTAGAATGCAGCGATTTTATGTTGGCAGTTAGAATGCAGTGATTTTCTGTTAGCAGTTAGAATGCAGTGATTTTCTGTTAGCAATTAGCATGCCGTGATTTCCTATTAGCAGTTAGAATGCCGTGATTTTATGTTGGCAGTTAGAATGCCGTGATTTTATGTTGGCAGTTAGAATGCCATGATTTTATGTTAGCAGTTAGGATGCAGTGATTTTCTGTTAGCCGTTAGAATGCCGCGATTTTATGTTGGCAGTTAGAATGCCGTGATTTTCTGTTAGCAGTGAGAATGCCGTGATTTTATGTTAGCAGTTAGAATGCTGCGATTTTATGTTAGCAGTGAGAATGCCGTGATTTTATGTTAGCAGTTAGAATGCAGTGATTTAATGTTAGCAGTTAGAATGCCGTGATTTTCTGTTAGAATGCCATGATTTTAAGTTAGCAGTTAGGATGCAGTGATTTTCTGTTAGCCGTTAGAATGCAGTGTTTTTCTGTTAGCATTTAGAATGCTGCGATTTTCTGGTAGCAGTTAGAATGCCACAATTTTATGTTAGCAGTTAGAATGCAATGATTTTCTGTTAGCAGTTAGAATGCTGTGATATATTCTGTTTGCAGTTAGAATGTTGTGATATTCTGTTTGCAGTTAGAATGCCGTGATTTTATGTTGGCAGTTAGAATGCAGTGATTTTATGTTAGCAGTTAGAATGCAGTGATTTTCTATTAGCAGTTAGAATGCAGTGATTTTATGTTAGCAGTTAGAATGCAGTGTTTTTCTATTAGCAGTTAGAATGCCGCGATTTTATGTTAGCAGTTAGAATGCAGTGATTTTATGTTAGCAGTTAGAATGCAGTGATTTTATGTTAGCAGTTAGAACACGGTGATCTTCTGTTTATTAGTAGTTAAAATGGGGTGATATATACCCACCATAGTGTACCCCTCACTCAGCCTGTGGGAGGCAGGGAGAGTTTCCTGGATAATGGTAATATATCCATTGCGATAGAGAGAGATTATCTGAGGTATAAATGTTAGAGGTAAAATGCGGCACAGGCGGTGGGTCTCTCCCTCGTTTGGTATCTCGTTCTTTCCCTTTTCCTGTGGAGTGTGATAAGACAAAAATCAAAATCAATACTCAATTAACATCACAGTCGCCACCGAACAATTGAGAACGGCAGCGTCACGGCGTATATAAAACACATTATTGCTACATTTTTATAGGACGCAGAACTTCGCTGATAATAGATGTTTCTAAACAGGTTTGAAGCTCTGAGAGCTGATAATGACTTCACTTACGCTGAAGGTTAGAGAGAGAAAAGCTCAGATTTATTCATTTTCTTCCAGTAAAATATCTCCTCACATCCCAGAGCAAATCAGAGAGCGAGGACGGGGGTTTCAAAATATATCTTCATCCTGAATACCCTCTGTCTGAGTGTCTGTCACTCTCTGTCCGAATGTCTCTCCCACTCTGTCTCATCCGCTCTGTCACTCTCTGTCTGAGTGTCTGTCACTCTCTGTCTCTGTCTAATCCGCTCTGTCACTCTCTGTACGAGAGTCTCTCCCACTCTGTCTCTGTCTCATCCACTCTGTCACTCTCTGTCCGAGTGTCTCTCCCACTCTGTCTCTGTCTCATCCGCTCTGTCATTCTCTGTCCGAGTGTCTCTCCCACTCTGTCTCTGTCTCATCCACTCTGTCACTCTCTGTCCAAGTGTCTCTTCCGCTCTGTCACTCTCTGTCCAAGTGTCTCTTCCGCTCTGTCACTCTCTGTCTGAGTGTCTCTCCCACTCTGTCACTCTCTGTCTGAGTGTCTCTCCCGCTCTGTCTCTGTCTCATCCACTCTGTCACTCTCTGTCCGAGTGTCTCTCCCACTCTGTCTCTGTCTCATCCGCTCTGTCACTCTCTGTCTGAGTGTCTGTCACTCTCTGTCCGAGTGTCTCTCCCACTCTGTCTCTGTCTCATCCGCTCTGTCACTCTCTGTCTGAGTGTCTGTCACTCTCTGTCTCTGTCTAATCCGCTCCGTCACTCTCTGTACGAGAGTCTCTCCCACTCTGTCTCTGTCTCTTCTGCTCTGTCACTCTCTGTCCAAGTGTCTCTTCCACTCTGTCATTCTCTGTCCGAGTGTCTCTCCCGCTCTGTCACTCTCTGTCCGAGTGTCTCTCCCGCTCTGTCTCTGTCTCATCCGCTCTGTCACCCTCAGTCCGAGTGTCTCTCCCACTCTTTATCTATCTCATATGCTCTGTCACTTTCTGTCTGAGTGTCTGTCACTCTCTGTCTGAGTGTCTGTCCCGCTCTGTCTCTGTCTCATCCGCTCTGTCACCCTCAGTCCGAGTGACTCTCCTGCTCTGTCTCTCCCACTCTGCCACTCTCTGTCCGAGTGTCTCTCCCACTCTGTCTATGTCTCATCCACTCTGTCACTCTCTGTCTGAGTGTCTCTCCCACTCTGTATCTATCTCATACGCTCTGTCACTTTCTGTCTGAGTGTCTGTCACTCTCTGTCCGAGTGTCTGTCCCGCTTTGTCTCTGTCTCATCGGCTCTGTCACCCTCTGTCTGAGTGTCTCTCCTGCTCTGTCTTAGTCTCATCCGCTCTGTCACTCTTTGTCCGAGTGTCTCTTCCACTCTATCTCTGTCTCATTCACGCTGTCATTTTCTGTCCGAGTGTCTCTCCCACACTGTCTCTGTCTCATCCTCTCTGCCACTCTCTGTCTAAGTGTCTCTGTCACCCTCTGTCCGAGTGTCTCTCCCGCTCTGTCTCTGTCTTATCCACTCTGTCACTCTCTGTCCAACTGTCTCTCCAACTCTGTCTCATCCGCTCTATTACTCTCTGTCCGAGTGTCTCTCCCACTCTGTCTCTGTCTCATCCGCTCTGTCACTCTCTGTCCAAGTGTCTCTCCCACTCTGTCTATGTCTTATGTGCTCTGTCACTCTCTGTCCAAGTGTCTCTCCCACTCTGTCTAATCTGGTCTGTCACTCTCTGTCCGAGTGTCTCTCCCAAACTGTCTCATCTCCTCTGTCACTCTCCATCCGAGTGTCACTCCCACTCTGTCTCTGTCTCATCCGCTCTGTCTCCCTTTGTCTGAGTGTCTCTGTCACTCTCTGTCCAAGTGTCTCTCCCGCTATGTCTCTTCCGCTCTGTCACTCTCTGTCAGAGTGTCTCTCCTGCTCTGTCTTAGTCTCATCACCTCTGTCACTCTCTGTCCGAGTGTCTCTCCCACTCTGTCTCTGTCTCATCTGCTCTGTCACTCTCTGTCCGAGTGTCTCTCCCGCTCTGTCTTAGTCTCATCCGCTCTGTCAATCTCTGTCCGAATGTCTCTCCCACTCTGACTCTGTCTCATCTGCTCTGTTACTCTCTGTCTGAGTGTCTCTGTCTCATCTGCTCTGTCAATCTCTGTCATTGTCTCTGTCTCTCCTTCTGGGTCACTCTTTGTCTGACTGTCTCTGTCTCACCTGCTCAATCACTCATAGTCTGATTGTCTTTGTCTCATCCACTATGTCAGTCTCAGTCTGAGCGTCTCTGCTTCACCTGCTCTATCCCTCTCATTTGAGCGCTTCTGTCTCACTAGCTCTGTCACTCTCTGTCTGAGTGTCTCTGCCTCATCCACTTTGTCACTTTCAGTCTGAGCATCTCTCCCACTCTGTCACTCTCTGTCTGAGTGTCTGTGTCTCTCCTTCTGGGTCCCTCTCTGTCTAAGTGTCTCTCCCTCTCCCTCTGGGTCACTCTCTGTCTGAGTGTCTGTGTCTCTCCTTCTGGGTTACTCTCTGTCTGAGTGTCTCTGTTTCTCCTTCTGGGTCACTCTCTGTCTGAGTGTCTCTGTCTCTCCCTCTGGGTCACTCTC